TAGGAAAACCTCTTATCTTTGGATCTTAATAGGAAAACCTCTATTTTATCTGGATTTGAACAGGAAAACCTCTATTTTCTTTGGATTTCCTCTATCTTGCAATAGGGAGGCCCCCCCCCAAAAAAAAAGTTGAAAGGCAAAAAACAATTAAAATAATTCCTCGACCATAGGTTTACAGCAATGTAGACTTAGCAAGAACCCTGGATACCCTCACGCACGAGTTTTGACCATCTGCAGACTCCCAGCGACCTTTGCCACGAAAAGGATGCCCATAGCTTCTTGTGCGGAACCCAAGTTTGAAGCACACAGGTTTTTCCTTTATTGGCCTCAAGGGGTTTGGAAGAACCCAAGTTTAAAACATACAGGTTTTTCCCCTTTTATCCTTAGGCATTGCCTGGGTAGGCCCTTACAGGGGGTTAAAATGAAGACAGGGGGGGCGGGGGGGCACCCAGCGCATACTTGGCGCATACCCGGGCACCCGGCGCATACCCAGCGCATACCCGGGCACCCGGCGCATGCCCGGGCACCCGGCGCATACCCGGCGCATACCCGGCGCATACCCGGCGCATACCCGGCGCATACCCGGGCACCCGGCGCATACCCAGCGCATACCCGGGCATACCCGGCGCATACCCGGCGCATACCCGGGCACCCGGCGCATACCCAGCGCATACCCGGGCATACCCGGCGCATACCCGGCGCATACCCGGGCACCCGGCGCATACCCGGCGCATACCCGGGCACCCGGCGCATACCCGGCGCATACCCGGCGCATACCCGGGCACCCGGCGCATACCCGGACGGGCACCACCTACAATATTCGGGGTCGCTGTTTCCGTCCACTCTGGAAAATACAACTAAAATCGCATACACGGGACAGTAGAAAAACCAAAAAAACCAAAAAACCAAAACCAAAAAAACCAAAAAAACCAAAACCAAAAAAACCAAAACCAAAAAAACCAAAGAAACCAAAACCAAAAAAACCAAAAATACCAAAAAAACCAATTTCCCGGGACTCTCAGGAAATCCCTATGAGGCTTCTCCAAGAGTCCCGGAAAATTGGTTTTTTTGGTATTTTTGGTTTTTTTGTTTTTTTTTTTTGGTTTTTTTTGGTTTTGGTATTTTTGGTTTTTTGGTTTTGGTATTTTGGCTTTTTGGTTCGCCTTCACGGTCACGAGGCAACAACTACGCATTTTTAAGTGTGCTTATGCTAATTGTGCTTTTCAGAAATAGTATACAAGTGGTCTTTCTAGTGCTTCAGAACTATTTGTTTCGTTACTATGTAAGTAGAGCCGCTAGTGTTTAGTGCATCTTTTGATTGTACTCAAGTGTAGTAGACCTTATTCAGCCATTACTTGGTGCTCTGGTAGCTCAATTCGCATGGATAATATTTGCCTGGTAAATGCGATTAATTATCTAGAAGCAGCATTTGCAATACTTGTCTTGAGAAAAAGCATTTATTGCTTAGAACTGTTTGCTTAAAAAGTGACGCCTACTCGTCCAGGAATACCCCAAAACCCTATAATCCAAACTTTACCAGAGATTCTCCTGAAAAGCTTGCGCTTTTGGATGTCTTTATGTTTTTGTGAATTTGCTTGTGTATGGCCTTCACTAAGTACTTTTCTAGGATTCTTGTGCATTTTTTAAGCCTGATTGTGCAAGTTGCGTTTTTCAAGCATAGTATATATGTGGTCTTTATTGAATACTTCAGACATCTTTGTTTCATCGTTATGTAAGTAGAACCGCTTCTATTTCCATTATTGTGCATTGTTAAGCTTGCTCATGCAAATTGTGCTTTTCAGACATAGTATATAAGTGGTCTTTAGTGAATACTTCAGCAATCTTTGTCTCATTGTAGGTAGAACCGTTTCCATTTCCGCAAGTGTTTATGTCGTATTTGGTTGAGTATGGTCCTTTAAATAGTATTCACTTGAGTCCAATTGGGCTATTTGCTTAAGAATTCCTCTAGTAGTTAAATTCGCATAGAATGAATACTTCAAAAAACTTGTTTCATGAATATGTAAACATAAGGTGTTTCATTTGACTTTGCAGATAGTACTTCGATAATACTTTGCCTGGTACAAACACAACTGTTTCAATGCATTAGTTGCTCAACAAAGCACTATTTGCCCTTTAAACCACACTTTGCCATATTTTGGTTGAATATGGTGCTTCTTTCGCATTTTGGTTGAGTATGGTCCTTTAAATGGTATTCACTTGAGTCAGATTGGGCTATTTGCTCAATGATTACTCTAGTAGCTAAATTCGCATAAAATGAGTATTTCAAAAATAAAAACGATTCATGAATATGTAAACATAAGGTTTTTTCAGTGGACTTTTCAGAGAGCAGATTTTGCCTAGTACAGACACAATTGTATAAATACAGTATTTGCACTTTAAACGCACACTTTGCCATTTTTTGGTTGAGAATGGTGCTTATTTCGTATCTTGGTTGAGTATGCTCCTTTAAATAGTATTCACTTGAGTCAAATTGGGCTCTTTGCTGAAGAATTACTCAAGTAGCTAAATTCGCATAGAACCAAGAAAAATGTTTCACTATTTGATTAATACTTTGCCTCGTACAAACACAATTGTATAAATAAATTAGTTGCTCAACAAAACATAAATTGCCCTTGAAAGGCACAATTTGCATAGAAAAACGCTGATCTAAACATCTAAAAACAGCATTGTCCGCTTCAGATTCAAAATGTAGATTCTTCCAATGCTGGCTTATCGGGGTCTGTGAGGTGGGTGTCCCAGTAACTGTCCTTCATTACCCGGTGATTAACTACGCGATTTTTGGGCCTTCTTTGTTGTTTTTTGTTAAAAAGGCCTAAAAAGGCCTGGGGGGGGGGGGGTAGCATATATATATATATATATATAGAGAGATAGATAGATAGATAGATAGATAGATAGATAGATAGATAGAGAGAGATAGATAGATAGATAGATATATACATATATGTATCTATATGCACAGACACATACATACAATGCAACACATCGTACAAACATGAGACAGAAGATTAGACATACAATGCTTGAGCATGCGTGGTAAATCATAGTCCCGTCTTGGGTACCCTTAATATTAGGGGCCGCCTTACCATGGTAACCCCAAAATTTAACAACCCTAAACCCTAAACCCTAAACCCTAAACCCTAAACCCTAAACCCTAAACCCTAAACCTATACCAACCCTCTCAGAATCCTGGGCCCTCCCCGTGCCTTCCTCTGCGCGGGTGGCCTCGCAAGAGGCAACAAAATGGATGTCTAGGGTTTAGGGTTTAGGGTTGCTTACAGGATGAAGAGAACGACGAGTCGATCCACATAATGTGCGGTTTAGCCATCTGAGCATCGGGTGCCAGCGTGAAACACCAAACAGGGTTTAGGGTTTAGGGTTTGGGGTTTGGGGTTTGGGGTTTGGGGTTTGGGGTTTGGGGTTTGGGGTTTGGGGTTTGGGGTTGGGGGTTTGGGGCAACAAAAACCTGGCATCGAGACCCAAGAAAGGCCCAGCAACTTCGAAATACGGCCCACGCGCGCCTTCTCGCTGCTGCTTGGGCGGAGGCCTTGGGCGAGGCTTGGTTTTAGGGTTTGGGGTTTGTGGTTATAGGGTTTAGGGTTTCAGAATTCAGGGTTTTGGGTACAAGTGTTAAGGGTTAAGGGTTTACAAGGGACAAGGGTTTAGGGTTTAGGGTATCGTATAGAGTTGAGGGTTTAGCTGAACCCAGGACCCACAACCTGACATTCTCAGCCCAAGCGAGACTAGTGTACGGTACGGCCCAGAAGGAGTGGAGGTGGACTCTCCTTCCTCTGAATCCGGCATGCACCTATGGGCCTTGCAGGCGCACTGGTTGATGATTCGCTTGCAAAGGTCTCACGTGACTCGGTGCAGATGGGGGCCCCACGGCAAATGAGGAGAAGCTTCTTTCCAGCTCATTGTGCAAGTACTTCCATCTTCATGTCCCTCTTTATTTAGACAGTTTTAGGCATGAGAGCGTGATCGCCGTTGCCAAGCTCAAATCAAAGTCCACCTCCAAAGACACCAAGATTCTAGAACCGTAGCAACATGCAGCAACCATAGCAATCCCCGCGGAAGCGGCGAGCGCCGAGGCGTTTTTTGCTCACGGGGTCGCGAGCAGCTTGGGTAGTGCGCTCCCCTTCGCAGCCCCCATCGCAGCGCGCCGCGGGCTTCGCAGCGCTGCTGGAGAGGAGGAGCGGGTGTTAAGACATTATCATCCGAGCTAGGATCGTTGTCTCATCGTTATCTCAGAATCGTGTGGCTGTTTCAAGTGCCAGGTCTCTGGGATAAGCTGCGGGCGGCAAAAATTCTGTACTGTTCTACTACTTTTTTGGCCGAGTGGCATGTGCAGGATTTTACCGCTCACTACTGCCAACCACCTCAAATCCCCCCTTGCCAAGCCTACTCAAGCCAGATTAGTTGAACTGTCAAGTGTCACGGTGGGACGACGGAACCTGGCACCCGAAGAGAAAAAGCCATCTTGGCATGCATATTTACACATTCGGATGGCTCGGCGGGGAGCGCAAACAAGGGAGGCATGTCATATCGCAACAGCGATCACAACTAGGCAAAGCCGCAATACATGGCTCAGTCTACCTAGCCTATCAAGCTACCTGTGGAAGACCTCATCATCCCAAACATACACTTGCATCCTCAGGCCGAATCCCCCCCCCGCCCCCTTGCGAAGTCGAAAATTGAAGCATCTGCCGTTGCCGGGTCCTGCTCGTCGTCTGGGGAGTTGAGGCGGCGTGAGGCTGTGGACAATTGAATGAACGCTAGCAGTGTCATTCACTGAGCCACGTTTCAACATCTTTGGGAGACATATGAGGAATCATTACAGGCCCCTACCCACAAACGGCAACCGCAGGAAAGCACGCAAGGTCTTTGTGCATGCTGTGCTGGCAAATATGGGCATATGTGGTGACTCCCTTCGCAGCGTGCTGGAATGACATCTAAAGCAGGCCCTGCGGCCGCCCTATGCCCTATGCATCCAACAAGCTCAGATCCATCTCCAGCTCGCATCCAGCCATCGGCCCACCTATCGGCCGCATGGTGCGCCCCCGGCGGGGCTCTGTGTGGGGCTCCGGCCACGCTCTCGCCTCGCGCGCCCGGCCGGCATTCCGCAAGGTCCAGGCCCAGGCCTCCGCATCCTCCCCGCTCACCTCGGGCTCCGCCTCGGGCTGCGCATGTGCAGCACGTGCGCCCGATGCGCCTGACGGGAGGTAAGTGCCGAAGCCCAGGTTCTGCAGGTCCAGTCGCTGCTGTGTGCGCTGGGACCGGGTCAGCGCGCGACGCAGGGCATGTACGGCGCGCCCACCGCGCAAACCTTGGAGCGTGTTCTGTGCTGGCACTGCCTTTGGCGCCGCCTCTTTCCAGGCCTCGACTCGGGTCGTCTCCACCGCCTTTCGGCGCTCCCGCTCGCCGCGGGCACTACGGGCAGCGCGGGCTCCATGTCCTTGGGCTTGGGCCCGGCCCTCCTTGATGCCATAGGCCAACCCGCAGGCGGGCAGGAGGCATAGGATGCCGGCCACACAGCCCACAACGCCCATGATGACGATGGCCACACTTGAGGCTGCCATCTGGTCGTCCCCTCCTTCGAAGGTGGTCGCGATTGCGGCAGTTGAGGTACTCTGAGTTGAAGTGAAGGTCCTGTCGCTGCGAAAACAATTAAAGCAGTAGACGTCGCCTGCAAGGCTGATTGAGACATTATATAGCTTTACAATGCTTCAGGCAACTCTCCATATGCAGTTGCACCTGCAAGTCCCTTCTTTCAGGCCACCATCGACTTCTTGTTCATCTTCTTAATTATCTTCTTCTCTTCTTCTTCGCTTCTTCGCTTCTTCTTCTTCTTCTTCCTCTTCTTTCTTCTGCTTCTGCGATCCGTACACCTCCCCCCCTAGTCTCTTTTGTGCTCGTGCTCTTTCTCCCCTCTCTTCTCAGGCTCCCGCTCTGCATCGGGTCTGCCAAGCAAAAGCTCACGCATCCCTTTGCTTACTTGACCGATGATGCTGAGAGGCAACAGTCCCTAATAGGGACTATAGCATCCCCGATTATCATCCCTATTACAGTCCTTAATGGGGATTATAGTATCCCCTATTAAAATCCCTCTTAAGGAATGTTAGTAGAAGGGGGTCTCGCCCTTTGGTCTCTAGTGCACGCATGGCAAGTAAAGATCCTCGTCCCGGTTGTGGATGGCAAGCTGAGGGCCCAATCGGAGAAGTGGACACTGGCACCCGACGTGGCCCGGCCAAGTGCGTTCTCGCAGTAGACGAGCAAAAAAGACCGACCACCGGCGTGCGTGCCCGCCGGAATGGCAAGCCGCAAATCATTTGAGCTTGTCGAGGCCACAAAGCTCTCGTTGCTTCCGGAGGCATCATCTGCCAGGTACACGGAGAAGGCCTCCCAACAAGAACGCGCTTGCCAGGAGTTTGCTTCTTGGGATGCTTGCTTCAAGGCTTGGTTAGAAGATGAGGTTCAGGCCGCGTTTCAACGGCCTCAAACCGCTTCACCCCTTTTTGGACCCCTAGCAAGCAAGCCCGTTCTGAGCCTTACTGAGATTCAACCGCTCCAAAAGCCCAAGTTGTACAAATCCCAACACCCCGAGCCACGAAGGGAAATGCCAGGGAACAACCTGAAGAAAAACAGCGAAGTAGAGCTGGAGCAGTGCCAAGCCTCCACAAATCCGTAGTCCACGTTGTCTTGGCGAGTCCACGCCACTTGCCCTCCAATGTATGTTGCGACGCTGTCCTCGTCCGAGAACGTGACGGACTGAACTTGTAGTGCTCCTAAACTCATGAGCGGAAAGTCCACGATGCTCAGGAAACCTGCCTCGTTGAAGGACGTGACCATGTCATTATCCTTGCGGTTCGGAATCACCGCGAAGTACTGGGCATAACCATTGGAACCCAAGTCGCGCGATTGCGCAAAGGTAAGTTCGTGTTTCCCCAGTGGCACATCTCCTTCTGGTGTCGATGGGTCGTTCACCTGGCTTCCGGTCAAGAAGATCTCATACACAGATGAGGAGTAGTCCTTCCTTGTCAGAAGCCACACGCTGTAGTGCAAATATTCCGACGTGTTTGCTGGTGGTGTCCAAGCAAAAGTGCCATTTAGCTGGTAGGCTTCAGCGCCCAAGTCTATGAAGGACAGATTGCCGAAAGTGTTCTCACTGCCCAGTTCATCTGCTTGCGTGGACGTGGAGACCATGCCCTGGCTAGTGCTGCTTGTCTGTGTGGTCTCAGCAGACGTGGTACCTGTCCCGGTTGTGGATGGCAAGCTGAGGGCCCAATCGGAGAAGTGGACACTGGCACCCGACGTGGCCCGGCCAAGTGCGTTCTCGCAGTAGACGAGCAAAAAAGACCGACCACCGGCGTGCGTGCCCGCCGGAATGGCAAGCCGCAAATCATTTGAGCTTGTCGAGGCCACAAAGCTCTCGTTGCTTCCGGAGGCATCATCTGCCAGGTACACGGAGAAGGCCTCCCAACAAGAACGCGCTTGCCAGGATTTTGCTTCTTGGGATGCTTGCTTCAAGGCTTGGTTAGAAGATGAGGTTCAGGCCGCGTTTCAACGGCCTCAAATCCCTTCACCCCTTTTTGGACCCCTAGCAAGCAAGCCCGTTCTGAGCCTTACTGAGATTCAACCGCTCCAAAAGCCCAAGTTGTACAAATGTCAACACCCCGAGCCACGAAGGGAAATGCCAGGGAACAACCTCAAGTAAAACAGCGAAGTAGAGCTGGAGCAGTGCCAAGCCTCCACAAATCCGTAGTCCACGTTGTCTTGGCGAGTCCACGTCACTTGCCCTCCAATGTATGTTGCGACGCTGTCCTCGTCCGAGAACGTGACGGACTGAACTTGTAGTGCTCCTAAACTCATGAGCGGAAAGTCCACGATGCTCAGGAAACCTGCCTCGTTGAAGGACGTGACCATGTCATTATCCTTGCGGTTCGGAATCACCGCGAAGTACTGGGCATAACCATTGGAACCCAAGTCGCGCGATTGCGTGAAGGTAAGTTCGTGTTTCCCCAGTGGCACATCTCCTTCTGGTGTCGATGGGTCGTTCACCTGGCTTCCGGTCAAGAAGATCTCATACACAGATGTGGAGTAGTCCTTCCTTGTGAGAAGCCACACGCTGTAGTGCAAATATTCCGACGTGTTTGCTGGTGGTGTCCAAGCAAAAGTGCCATTTAGCTGGTAGGCTTCAGCGCCCAGGTCGATGAAGGACAGATCGCCGAAAGTGTTCTCACTGCCCAGCCCATCTGCTTGCGTGGACGTGGAGACCATGCCCTCGCTGGTGCTGCTTGTCTGTGTGGTCTCAGCAGACGTGGTACCTGTCCCGGTTGTGGATGGCAAGCTGAAGGCCCAATCGGAGAAGTGGACACTGGCACCCGACGTGGCCCGGCCAAGTGCGTTCTCGCAGTAGACGAGCAAAAAAGACCGACCACCGGCGTGCGTGCCCGCCGGAATGGCAAGCCGCAAATCATTTGAGCTTGTCGAGGCCACAAAGCTCTCGTTGCTTCCGGAGGCATCATCTGCCAGGTACACGGAGAAGGCCTCCCAACAAGAACGCGCTTGCCAGGATTTTGCTTCTTGGGATGCTTGCTTCAAGGCTTGGTTAGAAGATGAGGTTCAGGCCGCGTTTCAACGGCCTCAAACCCCTTCACCCCTTTGTGGACCCCTAGCAAGCAAGCCCGTTCTGAGCCTTACTGAGATTCAACCGCTCCAAAAGCCCAAGTTGTACAAATCCCAACACCCCGAGCCACGAAGGGAAATGCCAGGGAACAACCTCAAGAAAAACAGCGAAGTAGAGCTGGAGCAGTGCCAAGCCTCCACAAATCCGTAGTCCACGTTGTCTTGGCGAGTCCACGTCACTTGCCCTCCAATGTATGTCGCGACGCTGTCCTCGTCCGAGAACGTGACGGACTGAACTTGTAGTGCTCCTAAACTCATGAGCGGAAAGTCCACGATGCTCAGGAAACCTGCCTCGTTGAACGACATGACCGTGTCATTATCCTTGCGGTTCGGAATCACCGCGAAGTACTGGGCATAACCATTGGAACCCAAGTCGCGCGTTTGCATGAAGGTAAGTTCGTGTTTCCCCAGTGGCACATCTCCTTCTGGTGTGGATGGGTCGTTCACCTGGCTTCCGGTCAAGAAGATCTCATACACAGATGTGGAGTAGTCCTTCCTTGTGAGAAGCCACACGCTGTAGTGCAAATATTCCGACGTGTTTGCTGGTGGTGTCCAAGCAAAAGTGCCATTTAGCTGGTAGGCTTCAGCGCCCAAGTCTATGAAGGACAGATTGCCGAAAGTGTTCTCACTGCCCAGCTCATCTGCTTGCGTGGACGTGGAAACCATGCCCTGGCTAGTGCTGCTTGTCTGTGTGGTCTCAGCAGACGTGGTACCTGTCCCGGTTGTGGATGGCAAGCTGAAGGCCCAATCGGAGAAGTGGACACTGGCACCCGACGTGGCCCGGCCAAGTGCGTTGTCGCAGTAGACGAGCAAAAAAGACCGACCACCGGCGTGCGTGCCCGCCGGAATGGCAAGCCGCAAATCATTTGAGCTTGTCGAGGCCACAAAGCTCTCGTTGCTTCCGGAGGCATCATCTGCCAGGTACACGGAGAAGGCCTCCCAACAAGAACGCGCTTGCCAGGATTTTGCTTCTTGGGATGCTTGCTTCAAGGCTTGGTTAGAAGATGAGGTTCAGGCCGCGTTTCAACGGCCTCAAACCCCTTCACCCCTTTGTGGACCCCTAGCAAGCAAGCCCGTTCTGAGCCTTACTGAAATTCAACCGCTCCAAAAGCCCAAGTTGTACAAATCCCAACACCCCGAGCCACGAAGGGAAATGCCAGAGAACAACCTGAAGAAAAACAGCGAAGTAGAGCTGGAGCAGTGCCAAGCCTCCACAAATCCGTAGTCCACGTTGTCTTGGCGAGTCCACGTCACTTGCCCTCCAATGTATGTTGCGACGCTGTCCTCGTCCGAGAACGTGACGGACTGAACTTGTAGTGCTCCTAAACTCATGAGCGGAAAGTCCACGATGCTCAGGAAACCTGCCTCGTTGAACGACATGACCGTGTCATTATCCTTGCGGTTCGGAATCACCGCGAAGTACTGGGCATAACCATTGGAACCCAAGTCGCGCGTTTGCGTGAAGGTAAGTTCGTGTTTCCCCAGTGGCACATCTCCTTCTGGTGTGGATGGGTCGTTCACCTGGCTTCCGGTCAAGAAGATCTCATACACAGATGTGGAGTAGTCCTTCCTTGTGAGAAGCCACACGCTGTAGTGCAAATATTCCGACGTGTTTGCTGGTGGTGTCCAAGCAAAAGTGCCATTTAGCTGGTACGCTTCAGAGCCCAAGTCTATGAAGGACAGATTGCCGAAAGTGTTCTCACTGCCCAGCTCATCTGCTTGCGTGGACGTGGAGACCATGCCCTGGCTAGTGCTGCTTGTCTGTGTGGTCTCAGCAGACGTGGTACCTGTCCCGGTTGTGGATGGCAAGCTGAAGGCCCAATCGGAGAAGTGGACACTGGCACCCGACGTGGCCCGGCCAAGTGCGTTCTCGCAGTAGACGAGCAAAAAAGACCGACCACCGGCGTGCGTGCCCGCCGGAATGGCAAGCTGCAAATCATTTGAGCTTGTCGAGGCCACAAAGCTCTCGTTGCTTCCGGAGGCATCATCTGCCAGGTACACGGAGAAGGCCTCCCAACAAGAACGCGCTTGCCAGGAGTTTGCTTCTTGGGATGCTTGCTTCAAGGCTGGGTTAGAAGATGAGGTTCAGGCCGCGTTTCAACGGCCTCAAACCGCTTCACCCCTTTTTGGACCCCTAGCAAGCAAGCCCGTTCTGAGCCTTACTGAGATTCAACCCCTCCAAAAGCCCAAGTTGTACAAATTCCAACACCCCGAGCCACGAAGGGAAATGCCAGGGAACAACCTGAAGAAAAACAGCGAAGTAGAGCTGGAGCAGTGCCAAGCCTCCACAAATCCGTAGTCCACGTTGTCTTGGCGAGTCCACGTCACTTGCCCTCCAATGTATGTTGCGACGCTGTCCTCGTCCGAGAACGTGACGGACTGAACTTGTAGTGCTCCTAAACTCATGAGCGGAAAGTCCACGATGCTCAGGAAACCTGCCTCGTTGAAGGACGTGACCATGTCATTATCCTTGCGGTTCGGAATCACCGCGAAGTACTGGGCATAACCATTGGAACCCAAGTCGCGCGTTTGCGTGAAGGTAAGTTCGTGTTTCCCCAGTGGCACATCTCCTTCTGGTGTGGATGGGTCGTTCACCTGGCTTCCGGTCAAGAAGATCTCATACACAGATGTGGAGTAGTCCTTCCTTGTGAGAAGCCACACGCTGTAGTGCAAATATTCCGACGTGTTTGCTGGTGGTGTCCAAGCAAAAGTGCCATTTAGCTGGTACGCTTCAGAGCCCAAGTCTATGAAGGACAGATTGCCAAAAGTGAGGAGTGGGTCAAACGTTGTGACGGTGTTGGTGGTGCTGGTGTGCAATTGAAGAGTAGCACCGTTTGTTGTGCTGGAAGTGAAGGTAGTTGTGCTGACCAGGACTGACAAGCTTGAGCTCGTTTGCCTTGTCGACGTTGCGGTCGTGGATGTGTAGGAAGTTGTGGAGCTGCTCAGAAATGCGCGGGATGATGTCGACGTCCTACTGGTCAGCACTGTGTTCGTGAGGCTCTGTGAAGATGTTGTTGTGGTTGCTAGGGACGTGGTCGTGGAGGGCAAGCTGAGGGCCCAATCGGAGAAGTGGACACTGGCACCCGACGTGGCCCGGCCAAGTGCGTTCTCGCAGTAGACGAGCAAAAAAGACCGACCACCGGCGCGCGTGCCCGCCGGAATGGTAAGCTGCAAATCATTTGAGCTTGTCGAGGCCACAAAGCTCTCGTTGCTTCCGGAGGCATCATCTGCCAGGTACACGGAGAAGGCCTCCCGAAAGCAAGGCATGCGGAGGTGGAGTGGGGACCCGGACTTTACACCTTCCAAGATCCTGCATGATCTGTGAAGGGGTATCCATTGTTGTATGATTGAGGCTCCTACGTCGGCACTCTCCTGGCTATATAAATATGTAAAACCGATACACGCAGCACCGGGGGTGTCCGTGCATGCACTGCAGGAAGCCGAGAATCTACGGGTAGTTGCATGGTCCCTATGGGCCCTTAAACGGGAACCCAAACTACCCTGAAATACCCTGTAAGCCCAAGGAGAGGAGGTAAGGGACCAGATTAAGGGCCCAATGACACTGACTGCCCTTAGAGAGAACCCGAGACGGTGGGGTTATGGAAGCGAGCTGCGAGCACAGCGTTCGTGAGCAATACGGAGGTCTGGGCTGAGCTCGTTCCCCAAACACTTCTTTGCACTGACTTTGGCAAAAAGAAAACGCATCCCGGCTTCTTGGGTATATGAGGATCATTCGGACATCAGCGTATCGTCCAACTGTCATGTCCAAGAAAGACAACAATCCTTATTGCAGCTACCACCACCCTATTTTTCAAATCCCAAATGATGACAATGGCCTACTGACATGGCAGGAGCGGAGACAAACAGGGAGGCACACAACCTGGCCTCCACGAATCCGTAGTCCACGTTGTCTTGGCGAGTCCACGTCACTTGCCCTCCAATGTAGGTTGCGACGCTGTCCGCGTCCGAGAAATTGACGGACTGAACCTGTACTGCTCCTAAACTGAGCTCAGAGTCCGCGATGCTCAGGAAACCTGCCTCGTTGAACGACGCTACCATGTCATTATTCTGGCGGTTCGGAATCACCGCGAGGTACTGAGCATAACCGTTGGAGCCCAAATCACGCGTTTGCGCAAAGGCCAGCTGATGTGTCCCCAGTGGCACATTACCTTCGGGTGTCGATGGGTCGTTCACCTGGCTTCCGGTCAAGAAGATCTCATACACAGATGAGGAGTAGTCCTTCCTTGTGAGAAGCCACACGCCATAGTGGAGATATGGTGATGTGTCCGTCGGCGGCACCCACGTCAGAGTGCCATTCAGCTGGTAGGGTGCAGGGTCCAGGTCTGTAAAGGACGCATGGCCGACAACTGCTCGATGTTCTGTGGTGGTTGTGGTGGTGCTGCTGGCACTGCTACTGGTGAAGCTCCCATCGGCTGTGGAGCTTGTGGACGACAGCGAGGTCGACGTTTGGGACACCGTCGATGTCGAGCTTGAAACCCGCGCGCTCGATGTTGTCCCAGAAGTGGTTGCTGATCTGCTCGTCGTGGAAGTGGCTGTGACTGACACTGTTCTGGTAACAGTTCCAGTACTGGAAGAACCGGTAACAGTATTGCTTCGGGTGGAAGTAGCTGTACTTGAAATTGTGCTGGTAGCAGTTCTTGTGGAGGATGAAGATGTAGTGGACGTGGCGGTGCCTGTAAGAGTAAAGCTGACAGTGGAGCTAGCAGTGCCTGAAATCGTGCTGGTGGCCGTTCTTGTTGAAGATGAAGATGTAATGGATGTTGTGCTGTCTGAAACGGTGCTGGTGGCAGTAGTTCTTGTTGAGGATGAAGATGTAGCGGACGTGGCGGTGGCTGAAATTGTGCTGGTGGCAGTTCTTGTTGAAGACGAAGATGCAGTGGACGTGGCGGTCGCTGAAGTTGTGCTGGAGGCAGTTCTTGTTGAAGACGAAGATGCAGTGGACGTGGTGGTGGCGGTGACACTGACAGTTGAAGTGGCAGTGACTGACAAGGTGTTTGTCATTGTTCTTGTTTCCGATGTTGTCGTCGTGGCAGTTCGGCTAGTGGTGGAGGTCTCCGTGGTGGAGTCGGTGGTGGTGGTGGTCCCCGTCAAGGACGTCGTTGTAGATGTGGTCATCGAATGGCTTGTGGTGGTAGAGGTGGTAGAGGTGGTTGAGGTGGCTGTCCGGGTCGCTGTCAGGCTGGAGGATGTTGTGGTGGAAGCCGTCTCGGTGATGGTCCCTGTGACCGACGTGGATGTCGAGGCCGTGGCGGTCGAAGTCCTGCTGTAGGTGGTGCTTGTGGTTATGGTGGCGGAGGTGCTAGAGGTCAGGCTTGTAACGGTGGTGGTGGTGCTCCCAGTGGCAGTTTCCGAGGTGGTGGCGCTTGACGTCGATGAAGCAGAGGAGCTGGATGTCGTGGTTGTGGACCGCGTCGTTGTCGTGGAGGTCGATGTCACCGTGATGGACTGTGAAGAACTCGTGCTTGAGGAAGTGGCGCTCTGGGTGACTGTGGAAGATGTTGAGAGCGTGCTACTGCTCGTGGCCGTAACAGATGCGGACGTGGCTGAGGATGAACCTCGGATTCTATTGCAACCATGATGTGTAAAGCAAGCATCTCCCCGGCTGACCGAACAGAATCCAACAGATACAGTATGTAATTTGCCTGACCAGGCGCTTGTTAAAGTAGAGGTGAAGACTGAAGTTGGCGTTGTCGTCATTGTCGTTGTCGTGAGCGTAGATGGAAAGCTTAGCGCTGAGTCTGTGAAGAGAATGCTGGCAGCTGATGTGGCCCTGCCTAGAGAGTTCTGGCAGTACACAAGCACCTTAGCGATCAGTGGATCAGGCATACTCTTCCATGAAGGGTCAAGCACGTGCATGAATTCATTCACATCTGTCTCGTACCCTCCACTACTCTCCTTGCACTGTGCGCCGCAACCGTGCCTGGGATCTTCGTGCCAAATAGGAACCATGACTTGTGCGCTCTTGCGCCCGAGAGTAGGATGAGGTGTGCAGGAGCCTTTTCGCCCAAGCAACTGAAAGCCAGCACTGCGTTTTGTACCCAACCCACACCGCGAGATTCCGCGTCTGAGAGCTGTTTATTCTAATTGAGCTTAGGACCTCGATTTTGAACTGCCCAGGCACAACAAGGCCAAGACACTCTCTCGATATGCTCATGCTTTAGGGCCTTAAAGCATCCCTAAACCCTAAACCCTATACCCTAAACCCTAAATTAAACCAAAACCCATCCAAGCTGCATAGGATCTGCCGTCGGCAAACGTCCCCGTGGGAATCGTGAGCTCCAGATTGCCAGGCGCAGTGGAAGCCACGAAGAGCTCATTGCTTCCGGAGGCGTCGTCGGCTAAGTACACGGCGAAAGCCTCCCAACATCCCACGACTAGCTTCGGGTTTAGGTCATAGGGTTTTTCGTTTAGGGTTTAGGGTTCACGGTTTACGGTTTAGGGTTTAGCTTCCCTCAGCAAGATGTCCACACAGACTCAGTCTAGCACGGCTAGAAGCCACAATTGATACGAGCAAAAGTTCGAAGAATCACCCTTCGCGCGTGGCAGCGGGGTGGTTGGCACTCAAGGTCCAGTGCTTGCGGCATGCGGGCTTTGGACTCGAATTGGCTCCTCATGGTGCATGGTGCCTCAACCAGCTGGAATTTGATGGGGCGCCGATTCTTCGCCCAGGTAGACAAGGGCTGCCAGGAATGGAGTCCGAGAACACTGGGCTGCTACAAGGTAGCTTTTCACAACAAGAATTCAAGGAAAGCACGCCGCACCGCGTGTGCTTTTCTAAGCAACGCTGAACACAAAATCTTGCGAGCCATGGGACAGCTGCAAAGAAACCGGTGACCGCAAGCTTCAGAACCCAAAAAGGCGCCTCCACAAAGCCATAGTCCGTGCTGGCCTGTCGAGCCCAGCTTACCGGCCCTCCGACGTAGGTCGCCACACTGTCTTCATCGGTGAAGGCCACCGACGAAACTTGCAGGGCTCCAAGGCTCTGCTCGGCGTCTACCAGGCCGATGATGTCCTAGACTGAATTTGGGAACCCCTGGCAAAAAATCATACTTTTTCTCGCTGTTTCTTACAGACTTATAGTGCCCGAAAAGGGGAAAATGTTCCCAAGTAGCCCGAAGTGTCGGCCTCATTGTAGGAAGCTGTGATGTCGTTGTCCTGGCGGTTTGGGACCACCGCCAAGTACTGAGCATAGCCGTTGGATCCCAGGTTTCGGGATCGGGCGAAGGTCAGCTGATGGGTCCCTAATGGAACATTGCCGTTTGGTGACGAAGGGTCGTCCACCTTGCTCCCAGAAAAAAAGACCTCGTACACCGAATGGGTGTACTCCGTCCGGGTGAGGAGCCACACACCATAGTGGTAGTATGCCGACGTGTCTGCCGGGGGCGTCCATATGGCGGTGCCGTTTAGCTCGTATGGTAGAGGGTCCCTGGGTTGTCGGCCAGATGGTGGACATAGTGCTGACACAAGATGTGCTATTTGTTGATCTTTGCATGTAAATTACACCCTTCAACAGCAACAAGGTCTGAAAACAAGCCCAGGTTCAGATCCGTGAAAGACAGATCACTGACCACTGCTGTTGCCTGCGGTACCAAGTGGAAAGTCAGCAGCCAAAGCGCTTCGCATAGCCATGGCTGCATTGACGGAGAAGGTGAGACTGCGCATATGTAATGGACAAACTTAGTCGTTCTCTGCTTGGGCACGCTCTTTGCTGAGGTCAAGGCTGGCATGGGGATAGCTTCAGAGTTTCTCACCTTCACTCCCTCGACGGCAATCCCTAGGCTACACACCAGCCATCTGAACCCTAAACCCTAAACCCTAAACCCTAAAGTTCTCTAAAGGTGTGTGGATGTGCCGCCACAAGCATTGGCTGGACCAACTCCTCCTAATTGTGCTGGAGCTGCGGCCGGGCATGGCGTAGTCTAGCATACAATATACATACATATATATATATATATATACATATACAAATATATATATATATATATATTATATTATATTATATTATATTATATTATATTATATTATATTATATTATATTATATTATATTATATTATATTATATTATATTATATTATATATATATATATATTTGTATAGTATATAATCTACAATCTATAATCGACATTCTATAATCTATAATATATAATTTAAAACATATAATATATAACATACCTTTTACAAAATATGTTGCATTTTAAGAAAACAAACTCTGCGAACCACCATAGCTTTTGCAAAGCAGCCGGACAAAGAGCCCCTGCAACTCGTTTACCTCTGAGCTTTGGGGCTTCATTCGGTCACTGGATTTTGGCTAGGGTTTAGGGTTTAGGGTTTCGGATTTGGGGTTCAGGGGTCAGGGTTTAGGGCTTTTTGGGTTTAGATAGGCCTCCTGTAAGAATGCACCAGACCCTCCCAGGGCCCTTGTCCAAGACTGTTAGCAAATGGTAGCATGCATTGTTGTTCCTAGTTTCATACGCGTTATATCATCATGTCATATTGCACCCGTATACCTCCAACACGTGAAACTTCTCCAACACCATGCAGAAAGCATATAGAAGCCCCAAACTAAGGCTACGTCCGACCTATGGGTAGGCCCACCACACCTACCGGTAGACCTTCGTGTAGGCTGCGAGGGCCGGCTTCTACGCGGAAAGTGACATCGTCAAAGACGCGGCCGTTTCTTCCCGCTGTTCTGTCTTTGATTATGTTTCATGCACTACAGGTTTCGACCCATACACGTGCCTGTTCTCTAAATGTTAAAGAATGGTCCCCCTTTTGGGGTTGGCTAAACAGCAAGAGCTCCGCACAATCGAAGGAACGATCTTGACCCTAAACCCTAAACCCTCTTTGCGCCTTCTTAACTCTAAACCCTAGTCTACATGCTCTTGCACCCGACTGCGGCTGGTGCCGGTGATGCTCGCGCCGGCACCGCGAAGCCTGGCCCGAGAAAGTCGAAGAAGCCCGGCAATGCATTCAAGCTTATTCTACTATTACATAGTAGTTACATTGGTTTAGGGTTTGGGGTTTAGGGGTATATTAGAATACCTTTTTTAAAAAATACTCACATAAATAGGTATATAACTGAAATCATATGTCGCTATATTACTATATCTTTATATTCTTATACTACGATGCTTTTTGTTGCTATATTCTCTTATGTATATGTATATACGTGTATTTTTCTTATTGCATTACACAGTGAAGCCTTAAATTGCTTGAAAAGTGATCGCACCGAGCCTCTGCTAGGCACGAAATAACTTGGCAACGTGTTGTTGGTTCGGTGGTGTTCGGTGGCTGAACTCTCTTTCTCCCCCTAAACCCTAAACCCTATGCGTACCCTAAACTATCTCCTGAACCCTAAACCCTAAACCCTAAACCCTAAACCCTGAACCCTTTTCCTGTGGCCCCGACCCAGGGCTGCTCGTCAAAGACCGGTCCTCCAAAGCAACTGACGCAGCGGCTACTTTGGGAATACTAAATGACTACACGAGGACATTCACATACCATTCTTACATTATTCCAAATGTTCTATATTGCTATATTTGCCTACTCTGACTTGCTTGTATCATTACTGCATGAAAATACTACATCAGTGGAAAATTATTATGATGATGGTTACTATCATGGTTTATTAGTATTCTCATTACTACTACTATTATCTCTATATATCTCTATATATATATATATATACATATAATTGTGAATAACTCATGACGTCCGGACACCAGGACTCGGCCCGCCCTGCACTGCCTCCGTCGTGCACGGGCTCTCAGAGAGTGAGATGTATTAGGGCACGCATCGAGATGTGATGATCTTGCTACCTCTATTTTCTTGTCTGCCTTCTAAATTGCTGTATCGTGCTATGTTTATGAATTCTTGTACTATTTCTTCCTTGCCTTTGTAGTGCTATCTTATGATCGCCGGTGGTTCGACATGCGCTGACTCTCGCCCCCCATTCCTCAGCCCAGGGCTGGGACCGCATTGGCGCCAGCCAAGGCGCGGTGGGGCTCTGGGAGAAGTAGGGGTTTTAGCTCACACGCTGAACCTTTTTGCTTTCTTAACTCTGAAGCCCTGAAACCCCAAAGGGTATACGCGCTTCCTGTGATGATGTGAGCAGTTCTAGGGTCCTGTTATCATGTGCCTCCCCGTCTTCACTCCAGCCCTCAGCTGTCCTAAACCCTTCCGACTCCAGCACCCAAACCCCTACTTTGGGGACGAAACGAACCCTAAACTCGGGGGTCATACACACGAGAGTATAAAAATATTAAGGTGTATGGGACCAGAAACCCGTGCAGGGTTCATGTGATCGCCCGGGTAAACGACAGCAAGACCAGCGTTTTTTTTTTGCCGAATCAGGGTCGGAATTGAGGGTTTCGGGGTTTACTGTCGGGGTTTTAGGGGTGTTTTTGAGGAGTTGACAGAGAAGCCCCGGTGTTTTAAGAATCTCCTTGTCAGTGCCCACCACTTTCATGGTGCCACCGCGCTCCTGCACTTGCAAGTTATGTCACCGAACGTCGTGTGTGCTCATGGCATTCAGGCGGAGCACTCTTGATGAAACCTTTGACAACCCGAAGCTCGAAGTTCCACAAGTGAAGGGTTGGGAAGGACTTTTTTGGTGTGGGGGGAGGGGGGGGGGGGGGGAAGGGAATCGGGAACCCCAAAATGGGAGACTTGCACATCGAACTGCGCGGTCCTTCTCCATCCTCTCTTTGGCCTTTCAACGTCAAGGCTCAAGATTTCGCTGTTTCATGGTGTTTTAGACCCAGGAGTAACCTAGGAGAAAAAAAAGGGTACCCTACTGTACTCGAGAAAAAAGGCATATATAATTCATATATCTACAAGCGAGAGAGAGGGAGACAGAATACACACACACACACACACTTACTTATATGTGTGTAACTGTGTGTATGTATGTCTATCTATCTATATATACACACACGTATATATATATATATACACATATAATACGTCAACATGTAGATGTATATGCGGTACAAAAGCCCGTTCCACTGCAGGAGTGGGCTGTCCTCTTCAAGTGGCAGGCTGAATCCCGCCTTTTGAACGGTTTCTTGGCAGCGCTCATCAGTTCGATCCAGGTTTAGGGGTTAGGGTTTAGGGGGTTAGGGGTTTAGGGTCTAGGGCTTCTTGCCACCAGGCTGAAGGTTTAGGTTTGTTTACTCCCAAACAGTTCTAAAACACGCAGGGAACCCTAAACCCTAAACCCCTAACCCCCAAACCCCCAAACCCCGAAAACCCTAAACCCCTAAACCCCTAAACCC